TTTAATTAATTATTGACACATTTAATTAATTGTTTATCGCTGTATTTATTTATATAACTGCGGCACTTTATATCAGTGACGTGGTTTTAATTAATTATTGACACATTTAATTAATTGTTTATCGCTGTATTTATTTATATAACTGCGGCACTTTATATCAGTGACGTGGTTTTAATTAATTATTGACACATTTAATTATTTATTTAATGCTGTATTTATTTATTTAATTTTGGCACTTTTTATCCTCCATACACCTGCTCCACCTGCATGGCGCCAAACCGCCTCAGGGCTCAAAATGTGAAGCATTTTTAATCCATGCCAATGCAGCTTACCGGCAGACACACAGATGCTTTTTAATAATGGTTGCTCATTATTTTAGATAAGTTATAAATGTCTCATAACTGGACTGCAGTCTGTTGGATTTCTACCTTCAAGTGTAAAAGTATTGATGTTATTTTTGAGTATTAAAACAGCCAAAATAACAGACATTTACCTCTTTTTTGGAGTTATTGTGTGGATAAACCATAATCAGAGATAAGCAGATTTGTAGTGTTTTTTTATGATAGAAGCTGCTGAATATCTGGAAGAAATATCTGTTTTTACCTCTTTGCTGCGGTCTTCCTTCTCCGTCTCTTTGGCTTCCTTCTTGTCTCTGCTCTCCTTCATCGCTCTTTCTCGCTCTTCATCCACCTCGCTCTGTCTAGCTCTCTCTTCTTCATCTCTCATGTTTTCCTCCTTGATGCTCAGACCGATGTCTTCTTCTTTTTTCACTGAAAGATAAAACAGATCCTGTTGATTTCTGATTTTGGCTCGGTTTGTAAACGCTGAAGTTTTCCAACGACCTTGAGCCAAACTCTGCTTTCCACATCAATGAGCTTTTTCCTGTTCCGAGTCTCTGCATTATATACAACTCTTAAAACAAGAAAGGGTTTTGAACAGAAAGGACATGATGTGCATGAGCCAGCAGACCCAAAGCAGGAGGTCCAAAGAGAACGTTTTCTAAATTATTATGATTTTTGCTTCTCTTAATCCAGTTTAATTGTTTTGTTTCTGCATAACTCTCTCCAGTGTCCATGTGAACAGTGTTTACTGATTACCTTCATACTTTTAGTGAACGGTGGAACGAACTGACCACTTTTGAAGTTATGAACGTGAAGGAGAGCGATGTTCTCTCTGAGAAGAATGAGCTATCCTTTTATTTGGATAATGTCAGGTTTTACGGCACTTATTACGGTAAAATGCACGACAGACCAGCATGTCTACTGACAGTACTAGTCTGAACGATTCAGACTCATCTGCTGGTATTTCTGATGCCAGTTTAGCAGAGCGCTTAGCAGAGTTTGATGAACTACCAAAGGAAGACTCGGACATTACAAAAAAACCTCATGTTTTTCTACAAACCGTTCCCGCCGGGATTTAACAAAAAAGTCCATACGTCAGCCTGTCCACTTCAAATTTAAAATGACATCTAAGAATTTTTGCTATATTGGGAAATATCTGCTACTAAATAAGGGACTAAGATAAAGGAAATAAGGAATAAAGGAAAAAATCATTTTGGATCCGGATCTTTTCAGCAGAACCTCAATGTCCCTGTATGATTCTTGTCATGGTTTAGGTTCTGTTTAAGTTTTATCTCTGGGTTTCCATTGGTTTTATTTCCATTTTTTGTTATTCTAGTTATTTTTGATTGTATTTGAATTCTTATGCTACGTTCACACCGGACGCAACAGGAGCAGCAAAATCGCGTCTGCTGCTTAATTTTTACTGCTTGTACCAGTTTAGTTCTGTCGCGCGGCTGAAGCAGCTTTGCTGCTCTGGCTGCGCGGGGCAAAAGTGTGTCTGACGCGCGTTGGGCGGAGCTTCTCTATCCTTTCTTTGCCTTGCAGCTATAATTGCTGTGATCAGTTGGAATAAAGTAGTTTTAATATGTTTTTAAGTGAGAAAATCCACCTGAAAACGTAATCAGTGCAGTCAGTTCATTCAGATTACCATCCTGCCTTACAATATTATTTCTGTGGGAGCCGCTCAGTAGGAATCCCATTCAACAGCAGCCTCTGGCCAGGTCGCCTCCTCGCGGTTTACCGAGGCAGCTGGTAGGTGTTTTTTATCTAAATAA